TGTCCCATGGGTGTCTGGGAAGGCAGCCAGGGAGGCTCTGCCAGGGACACAGGGCCAGACATGCTCCTCTGCCTGCACCACTGGGTTTGGAGGTGGGATTTGAAAAGCACGAGGAGCCTTTGGACAACTGCTTGGCACCAACTCTCATGGCTGCGGGTCATGGGCTAATCCCTCTGTATTTAATACCTGGGACATATTGGCCAAAGATGTGGTAGCACCTGAGCAGCTCTGAGGGACAGGCAATGAACCCATCCCCTTGCTGAAAGCCCTGCTACCTCTGTAGCCCTTCTTGCTTGTAATCCCTGGTCCTTTTGAGCAGCGGGAGGCTTATATCCATATAGGGCGTAATGTGTATGGGAATTAGGGTGGAAAGCTGCAGGCTGTAGGGGACTCAACGCCAAGGAGAAATATTCCAGTGTCATCTTGCGACCATGGCAGGACGTCTCTTCCTCCATGAAGATGCTCTTGCAGGTCAAAAGGAGACTCTGGAGTGTCGGTTTAGTTAGTTAAACTTTAGTGAGCAGAAATCCCTGGCAGATGGCAGTGCTACAGGGATGAGGAGATGCTGCAGGACCCTTGGGGAGCCTGGGCTGGATCCTGCCTGGAGCTGTGCACCACTCTACAACCTGCTGCTGGTCTCCGAACATGCACAAGCTCCCCACATCTCCGCTCTGCTGTGCTGGGGTCCCACACCAGTTCCAGCGTCCCTGCCCATGTTGCCAGCCCACAAGTCTGTGTGCACCACCAGCACAGGGACAGGCAGGGCTGCAAAGCAACCACCACTTTCAAGACCACCGCCCCAGTACCAGCAAAAGGGAGATGTGGATGCTGGTGGGGAAACATGACCTACAGGATGATTTGTGGCTTATCCAGGCTTGCATAGACCTTTTTTTTTGAATGTGCACAAAGCAGGACTCAGTAAAGCCACCTGGTCTACACCAGAGCTTTTGTGCTGTATCCAGCAACAAGTATCACAGCCCCACAGGTGCTCAGCCATGTCTACGGCTCAGGACATCCTCCAGGAGAGTATTAGGATGTTTGTGAGGTTGAGATGTTTGTGAGGGTCCCCCCTGAAGAATAGTCCTTGCAAGCTGTTTCAGTGATGGAGGCAGAGGAGTAGGATGCTCCTTTCTCTGTCTAGGGTTTGGTGACACACTGTGTCCCAGGGGAAGATCCCAGCAGCAGGACAATCTGGATGGGTGCCCTCACTCCACAATAAAAAGGCTTTTTCCAGATGCCTGCTCCAGGCTCTTGAGGACAGGCTGCAGAAGGGCACAGCTCCTCCGTGCTACAAAGACCTGGAGTGCAGGCAGGTGATGGAGCTGGAACCTGAGATGGGAGCAAGACCCTTGGGCCAGCACTTTGGGGCAGTGTGTTACAGCAGCAAGACTGGAGACTCCCACGGGATGGGACAGGCTTTTTGCTTTTCAAATGCTCCCAAAAGGTAATCTGCAGGTTTGTTCTTTGAGGGAAAGCCATCCAAAAATCACATCGTCCTGCTGCTTTGCCCATTATTTTCTTTTTTTTTTTTAGCAATGTGCAGAGCTTTTTCCGAGCCAGGTGAGGCTCAAAAAACCAAATTCCCTGCATTGTGGTGACTCTGAGGCACAGGATGCAAAGGTTTTACAGTCGGAGGAGGTTACCCTTCCCCTCTGTGGCTTTTCCCAGTGAACGTGAGTGTAACCTTGCGTAAAACCTTCATGCAGATTGCCTTGCCTCAGCCTCAAAGTCCGCAGAGAAAACAACTGGAATGGAGTTTACTGAATTAAGCAAATTAAAAAGGCTCTGCAGAGCCACCTTGTGCCCATCAAAAGTATTCTGGAAGAACACAGCAGTTTAAAGGCTAGGAGTCTGAATAAAATATACACAATTTATTTATAGGAGGTTTACAGCTGTACAACGTTGGCTTTCTGTTTGGACCACTCTCTGATCTTGTGCAGCATGACACATCAGTGCCTTTGGAGATGAAGACAAGTCATAGCCTGTTTTAACACGCAGACATCAAGAAGAAAAGAATTTCACAGAGTGTCATGGCAGGCTACTTGCAACCATTGAAATGATTAACAAAAGAAATGGAAAATAAATCAGAGACATGTCGTACATGACCTGGAGGGGACTGGAAAGTGCTTAGCAGACCTGCCCTCCCCTCAGACAAAAAATACCCTGAATATTTCTGTTTACTTCATTCAAAGAGGAAAGGCACCAGCATTAGGAATGGCATTTCAATAACTGCCCTCCTCCATCTGCTCTACAAATAAGACAAGACCGAAAAAAAGCAACAAAGGTAATTTTTGTTATTCCATTGGAAATGTAGGGGGAAAAAGGCTTCACTAACTTTTCCAAAGTTTTCAGAAAAAAAGGACAAATATTACTGATATTAAGACATTTTGGTCCTGATATAGTATGATGATCTTTTTCTTTTTAAGAAGAAGCTGTTAAAGCTGCCTTTCCTCTCTTTATGGCTTGATTCTCTGTAGGAAGAAGGAGGCTGCCCATGGGTACCAGGGCACCGCTACTCCTTGGCAAGCTTCAGCACCATTTCTTGGGGATCATGGTGGGGTTTGGCACGTCTCAGGGCACTCTTGGCCAAATGGCTCTCATTTGCTGAAGCTATCAGTAGCCTGATTTCCTGAGAAAACAAGGCTAATGTAGGCAGGCTGGCTACCCCCATCTGATGATGATGATGCAAAGCTCCTGTGTTGTTCTCCCTTAGCTAAATAGCTCTTCTCCCTGCCAGGTGAGAGGTCTTTGGGCATCACAGTCCCTCTCACATACCACTCTGAACATGAGCCTGTGAGATCTTCTCCTAAGACCTAAATCTAGCCCCACAACGGTGCTTCCATTTATTTTCAGTGATGAGTCTCATGAACAAAACCTGAATAAAATCAAAATATCTCTGAATCGGTCTGCCCAAATGCAAGGATTTGCTTTGACCTTGGGGTGAAAATGTCACTTTACCAAACTAGGAGCATTTGAGCCAATTCTTCAAGATGCTGAATTAACCCAGGTCCCAATGATGGCACCAGGAGTTGGAGGGTGCTCAGCACAAGCCAGGAATAATTGGGACCTGGAAAGAGCATCCTGTGGGCCACCGCTTGCCTCTCAGTCCTGGAAAACGAGATCTAAGAAAACAAGCAATTTGGCCAGAAACCCAATTCATACCCACAGGAGGTAAACTCTGAAGATGAGGAAATGGGAACAACAGCCTACAAAAATCGATGAAGTTGTGCTGTATGCTTCTGAATGCAGCAGGAATTTTTTTTTGGAATTGAGCTGGCAGCTAATGTGACTTTGGGGAACACCTTATCATGTTACAGACTTAGCAGATCTTTAGGGACTTTTCAAAAAAAACACAGACTTGCAGCACAAACGTGGGCATTTTGTAGGATAAAGAGAAATCCTACTTGCTAGGGCAAAAGAAGGCTTTCCTCTTCACTTGTTCTTGCAAGCAGAGGATTCTGCTTGGGCCAGGATTACAAGATTACATCATATATATTCATTTCCACTTGCATGCAGGTACCTGCAAAGGATTTGCTTGTTAGAAAATCTGACAGAAAAATCCCTTAGCTTGCACCATTTTTAAAGGCACATGAATAAAAAAACCACAACCTAACAACAGGAGAAAAAAACATGCTTTGAAACCTGCCCTGATCATCTGCTGAAAGGCCAGACAAGGGTTTGTTGTTTGGCTTCTCTGGGATGGTCTATAAGAAACCGGATTCTGCCACCCAGTGGAATAAGGAAGAGAAACCCAGTGTTCATGGCAAACAGGAGCAGAGCATGGCCCTAGACAGGGCCCTGAGGATGCGTTTGGGTTGTGCTTGTGAGACTGGCTCTAGCACTGTGCAACTCATCCTCCAGGGCAGGAGACTGGAAATTAAAGGTGAGAGATGGACACTGGTATGAATTAAATATTCCCAGCATTTTCAGGCTGCACTGGGAGCAGTGCTCCTCTTCTCTCCTCTAGCACAAGCTAAAATCCCACTATTTTTTTAAAAGAATTTGGGAAAGCGAGGCACTGAGAAATGATGCACTCTATGCAGCAGCAAAGATGGCGCCCATTGAGCGAAGCTCCCCATCCCTTGGACCTGACGCTTTGGCCTTCAGAGGAACTGATCTCCTCTTATCTAAACACTGAAGGGCCCCAGCAGACAACCCACCCCAGCTACCGGGGTGAGCTCTTGGGATGGGGATGGCATGAAGACATGGAGACAGCAGGCACCACGGCAGTTCGAGAGGCACACGCAGGAGCTGAGTCCAGACCGATTCAAAAACTTGACCCCAGAGAACAGTTGTCCCACCATGGTTGTTAGCATCTTAGTATCCTTCCGAGTTGCATGGGGTTGAACAAGACTCAGGAAGAGACAGCTCGTCCCTAAAATGATGAAGCCATTAGTCTTGTTGCCCCTGTGGATTCGGGATTTGGGACTGCCTTGGTGCATGTTCCTTCCAGTTGCAGTATGCAAACCCATACCCAGAAAACATCCAAAAGGCCCCAATCTATTTTTCCACTTCTCCTTTGCTGAGGTGCCCCCACAGAGATGCGATTAAATGGCAGTTCACAGGAGATGGCTCCACGCACACTACTCTAAAACCAAGCAGACACATCGAAGATGCATTGAAGCGGCCGGTGGGACTGCGGTAGCCACACGTGTGCATGGTGGCACGTGCGTGCCAGCCTGTGTAAACAAACAGCATCAGGGCATCGTGCTCTGGCTGTCAGGACACACAGCGTGCTCGCAGTGATCCCACAGGGCACACGGCGGCGATGGGGGCTGCAGAGGACGCCAGCAGAAGGATTGTTGCGGTTCCCCGAAAAGGCACCATTTTTTAACATTGAAAACACAAGATTGGCTTCTTTGAGTGGAATGCATGCGTAGTTCATATACACTTTGCAGATGGTAGGTAGGCTCTGTGTGTGTGTGTGTATATATATATATGTATGTGTGCATGTTTATATACACATTTGTGGCACCAGAAGAAAAGTCCTTGAGTACTACTTAGACGTTGGTCAGGATGTTGCTGCTGAGCAGCCTCACAGCGATGGTTCCAGAGAGATCGTTTGATCTCCTGTTCCCCTTGTCCTGGAGGTGCAGTGTGTGCACTGACTGCCGGTCGCTGGGATCCCCCGTGAGCACCACTTGGCCCAAGAACTCGTCGCTTATTAAGTTGTGGTTCCAGATCTGGGGAAACAAAAGAGACATGAGGGCAGCTCCTTGAGGGATGCAGCCAACCTTCACACACCAGAGAAGAGAAGGGGTTATTGGGGACCTGCTTTGAGCTGGAGATGTGGAGGTGGTCGAGGTGTGGGGGGGTTCACTCTGTAACTGAGAGGGGTGAAGGACATGCATTCACCAGATGTCACGGCTCAGCCGTGGTGGTGAGAGGTTGAGCTGCATGAACTGATGATGCTCAGCCTGGGGGAACAGACTTGCTGTGAACAGTGTGAGGAGAGGGCAGTTGGGGGGGTCCAAGTGAGACAGGGTCTCCATCCCTCGGCTCACTGCTTGCCTGCTGAGTACCTGAACAATGATGGGTTGTCCTGGCTTCTTGCGGTAGAAGAGACCTTTCACATCAAATTCTGGAGACAACGTGCTCTTCTTCACCGGAGAACGAACCTTTTGCCCTTCGCACTTTATGATCACATAAGGGTCAGCTCCTGGGGAGAGAAAAGGTAATTTTTGTTTTGTTGTAGCTCCTGTAATTCCTCAGAACCCTTTTCCAGAGGTGTCATGCAGCAGTTTTTCTCCATACCCCACCAGAGGAGATGGATATCTGCCAGAGAGTTCATCACACCCCGAGGATGTCCAAGAAGCTCAGCTGATGGGCTCAGGCTTACTCCCGTTAGGTGACATTGTCCCTGGGTGGCAGGTGGTGATGGACTGCTACGAAATGGCCACCTCTTCCTTGACCACATATTCTATATAAACACTCCTTCATCACTCAAAATCCTCCTGGCCTTTGGGATAAATCTTTCATGGAAGACACTGACCTGCTTACCTCTCCCTTTCAGGATTTGCTCTGCTGAAGGCAGGCAGAAATAAAGCCATGCAGAAGAGAACCGAGCTCACAAAGCTTGTTTCCCACAAGGAAACCGAGAGGAACGGCAATGGCCTTCAAGCTGCAAAACCCCACTTGCTTCCACTGCAGCTTGTATACTTCCCAACCAGGCGAACCTTGGTTTTACTTTAAGGTGATAACTAGCTCTATCAGCAGGGAGTGTGGTTTTCACCCCTATGCACAAATCCTTGGCACATCTTAAATTCCTCCCAGACTGAGCAAGACTCAAATGCTGCAGGGGCTGTCAGTATAATGACTAATGCTGGGGTAAGAAAAATGCTGGGTCGGCAAGGCGATGAGAGATGGCACAATGCTGAGCCAAAATTAAGTGCCAAGATGTGCTAATTTATGAGATCCAAAAATAAGACTACTTGGGCACTGGGAAGGTTTGGTGAGCAACCAGTGAATGGGGAGCCTTAGGATGGAAATACATTTAAAAGGCTTTTAAAAAGGTGAAGATGATTCTTAAAGTATTATTTGCTTTGGGCAAGAATTCAGGGAGAAGATCAAAACATCAAAAAGGATCATTGGTGGCAGTGAGAGGCATGGGGAAGAGACAGACTGGGCATTGGGGGAGACCAGGGGAAGTGAGTGGGAACTGGAGGAGAAGAAAGCAGGCAAAACGGGTAAGTGGGAAGCCAGAGGAGAGGTTCATGAAGGGAAGTGCAACAGGTCAGTGGGAAAGGAAGGTTATCGCAATATCCCAGCTGGATCAAGACAGTCATGTGGAACAAGCAGCCACAAAGATGGAAAGTAAAGTTACCAAGTTCTGAGACTAGCAGCCCACGGCTGGATGGTACCTGAGCTTGCGGGAGAGGGGAAGAGTCCCTCATTAGGGAGGGAGAGTCCCCACATTTTCCCCTTATAAAACAAGTGCTCATTTGGGGAATTTCAGTAGAGGATAAGCTATTGCTATGGAAATTTAACTGCCAGAATGCATTTTCTCACCATGAGCTTTAGTGGCTATGATGGAAACACAGACCGGGTGGATGAGTTTTCTTGTCCAAGGGAAATGTTGAAATGAGGAGGAACAAACCACCCCCTTCTGAGGGCCAGGGATTTAAGAACCACATCTTTGATTGCCAGACCACCTTCTCACTAGCTTTCTGTTTGCAAGGACCTGGCTCCCGTGGTGAGACACAGCTGCTGGATTTCACAGCTGTTTTTCCAAACTAGCCTTTTCTTTTGGGATCTCCCACTAAATCCTCATATTCCATCAGCTGGAGCCAAATTCCTATCTGTAAATCACTATTTCCAAAGTAGTGTGAAAAGCCTGGGCTGGGAGATGCGAGAGATGTCATTGCACTGGAAAGCACCAAACATGCAGGCTGTTGGTGGTGGGAGCTGAACAGCTGGAAAACAGTTGGAAAAAAGTCATTCCCAAGGGCCTCTTGCTGAAAAAATGTTTTATGGCTCCAGAATCCACATGTACCCTTGTCTGAAGGAAAGATAAATCTCCTTGTTTCTGTGAATGGCTCAGAGACCTTTGGCTACAGATTTCCCTGCATTGGTACAGATACACTGAGCTATTGTGAGTAATCCAAGAAAAAACAACCTATCTAGGGTAGAATTCCCTCCCCAAACACCAGACAGGATAGAAGGATTTCCTTTGTGGCATGTGATAAATAAGCAAATTGGGCTAGTCCTTGCCCTACAGAAAGATCCTGCTCGTTACTGTCAGGGCTCAAGTGATACGCAGCCCTCACAAAAATGCTTGGGTGAAAAAAAAAATAATTGAGTTTTTAATTTAGATTTTTTAAATTTTAAGTTTTCAATGTTTATACTTTAAATTTGGCTTGAAAGTGCCTGGCTAAACTTTGCCACATTCAACATATGTCCTTGACTCAGGAAATGGAAGAGAAAGGCTAGGATCTGGTCTGTTCCCATGGTGGAAAGGCATTTGCTTCTCTAATCACAACCTCTAGACCTTTCATCCCTATTTCAATGATCTCCCAGCCATCAGTATCCCTGCGTTCCTTGGTCCAGGTGCCCCAGGAGGACTGAACATGGGGCTCTTGCCATGAGCTTCTGCGTGGCTGCAGGACGTGGTGAGGCATGGTGCTGCTGCTGTCTTTCACGCAAGAGAAGTGTTGGATGTCAAAACTGCATTAGAGCATGGTAGGACCATGAAGATGAATATTTAGAGGATCAAGAAGGCAGAAACACAGTGTACTGTGCTGGTGATGGCTCAGGTCATCTCAGAGGGCTCCTAGGAGCCATGTGTGCACATAATAAAGGGAGAGGCTCTTGATCCACACCATCGCAAAATGAGCTAAATTTGACCTATCCTCCACTGACAGACATTTATCCAGCCTCCAGTGATGAACACTAGCCCAACACATCAGCCTGTTCTATTGCTTCTCTGTCCTTCTTACTAAAAAGCCTTTAAATACGATTCCTGACTTTTACAGCTGCTAATACTCAGGAGGAAAACCTGGGTTGTTACAGGACCACTGCTAAGGGCTTTGGGAAAGTTTTGGGAGGATCTCCCAAGGACCTTAGACAACAGCCTAAATATAACAGCTCCCAGATCATGTCCAGAGCAAGAGGTGAGTTTGAATCTCCATGGACTTTCCCCTCCTCTGGTGTCTGAATCAGGCATGTTCACTGAAAAAAAAATCTGAGGACATAACAAATCCCAGCAACCTCCCACCTCATGAAACCACCTCCCACTGAAACAACCACCTCCCATCTCCTGTGGTACTAGACAACAGGCAGGGAAAGACCAGTACCTCCTTGGGAGTCCTGATTCTTGAGCCCAGCTGCGGCAAGGACATGGATCTGGGACACCACTTGCGGGTAGCCACACATCCCACTCCAGCAGGTGTGTGGTGGCTCATCCAGCGTCAGCTCTCTGCAGGGAAAAACATGTGGCCTTTGAGAGGTGCCCAGCCTTACCCCATCGGCAGGCCAGAGAGTTTACTCTAGCAGGGTGGAAGGACTATGCACTGTCCACTGTCGGACTTTGCTCCCCACTCCGATCTCCTCAACCTGGGTTTGGGATGCTCTCCCACATTATGCTTAGAAGCAGAGTGGGAGCTTCTCTGCATGTCTGTGGCGAGACCTGTGAAGATGCCCTGTCTCTTGGCCACCCTTGAAAGGAAGCCAAACACCAGCTACAGGCAAGGCTATGACCAATTCCAACTAGGAAAACCACATGCCAAAAGCACAGGTCTGTCTCCAAATAGCCAGCTCCTCTCCATCACTGCTCGTGCTCCTTACCGGCAATCTGAAGGCACATCTGTGAAAATCCTGAGAAGGAACTCGCCTACATGACCAGGGTCAAAAGTGGTGGGGATGATCACGTAGCGGCCTTCCTTCAGATCCGTCCTCAGGAAGACACTGCGGGAGTTGATGTAAATGGAGCTGGCCACCTTCTGCTGCAGGGTGTGCATCCGGTAGTTCCTGTTCAGCTCCACCTGCGCCGAGACCACAGCGGGACTGTCAGCAGGACAGCACTGACTGACAATGTATTGGTATCCACCTTGGGGAGCCAGACTGCAAGGACTGACCCCACAGTGCTGGGAGAGCCGGAGTTAAGACAACCAGCAAAATGGTCCCAACTGGGCTGGATGGAAAAGAAGTGTGGACGTGGCTCTCCCAACCCTGTTGGCTCAGGGACTCGTTGTCTCTTGCATCCCAGCTTGACAGTGGGGGCCCAGCAAGCAACACATAAGGATCAGTCTAACGGATTTCAACATTTGGAGGTAATAGACTGACCATTGCTTTTAGCAAGGAGAACTTGTCCATGCTGCCACTGTCACCTGTGAAATCTCTTGCCATCTCTAGAGGGGGGCAGGCTGTGCTGAAGGCACCCCAGAGGCACCCAGATAATGCTTAAATAAACATTACCAATGGTCATGCAGGACTGACGTACCACTCTACCACTAACAAATTAATGGGGATATTCAGGCCAACATGCAGGAACCATGGTCTACCTTATGGATATCAAAGCCTATGGCCAAGTTCTCTCCTTTGCCCTCTTTGCGACTGGTCCTTTTTGGCTTCTGCTGGATGGAGATCAGCACTTCATCTTCTGCCTTCTTCACATCAAACACGTACTAGAAGCAAAAGGAGGAAGGTAAGGGAGGACTTCTACTAAAACAGGATCACTGGGAATGAGTCGGGGTGGACACGCAGTAGAGTTAACCTCAGCTTCTCCTCACCCACCTCACTGCAGGGACAGCCTGGCTTCAGTATCAGCATTGAGACCCCATACCCGCTCCTCTTGGGAGCTGGCATCATCTTGCCAAGCCAGAGATCTTTTTGGCTCATCTTAGAAAAAGACTGGGAAATCCAGTCTTTGAATTGCTCGGCAGAATCCAAGGAGTCTAGATACAATCTCATACCAGAGACTTTCACCCCTTGCAGTCTGGCACAAGTCCTCCTATGAGGCATGTAAGGAGGAGCTGATGTTCACAGAGATCCAAGATGAAGGCTAATACAGAGCTGGAAGCAGGAAACAACTCTCCCACATCCTTGATGACAAATCCTGCAAGGGACCAGGCCATCCTTCATCTGCTTGCTAGATGAAGGACTCACAAGAACTTGTCTCATGTTACTGAGAATCCCAGTTCAGAGCAGGACAGGACAGAAGAGCTTATTCCAGAAGATGAACCTCAGAGGAAGACCTTTTCTGAAGGCCAAGCTAGAAGGAAATGGCCCTATAGACTACACCTGTCCTGGTAAATTTAACAGTGCCAATGTTTGGGCAAAGGAACTGGAATTTGATCATTCAGATGTCCAAATTGTTGGAAATGGTTCCTGGCCCTGTTTGACTGGCACCAGCTAACACTGCTACCCTGTGGCACTGTTTGCCCTTTGCTTGTGCCAAGATGCTCTACACCAGGCACTTGGATGCAGCCTCCTGATAAGAGGGATAAGGTTAATAGAGTTGGAGAGTTGGCCTGGATGCTGGTCATGCTGTGCCAGGGGTCTCAGCCAGAGGATGGTCATGAGCACATTTAATCTACTAGAAGTCTGGTAGCCACTTTGGCCTTCTAGGTCCCTGTATGAGATTTAAACACTTGGAAGCACATGTGAAGGCTCCAGAAGGTCTTCTGCTCCTTGACTCACTTGGGGGTTCTGCAAAAAGGTGTCCTTGTGGTTGATACAGCCTCCACAGCGGTTCTTCAAGGGGTCATTGTCTCTGGTCCATGCCCCGTGTAGCACTGCCTCCTCCCAGGTCTTGTGGATGCTCAGGTAGGATGTGTTGATGAGACGGCACTTGATGATGTCCGTGAAGTATTTGCAGAAATCTTCAAAGGTCATCCTAAGTCAGGAAAGGACAGAGCTAGGTCATGCTGCTTCATACCCCTAAACAGTATGCTGCAGGGATTTTCTTGATCACCTGTTAGAGACTATGTGTGCGTAGCCTCTGATGGCTGATGAATAACAAAAGAGATGGAGATACCTTTCTCCATGCATGCAGCAAATACTTCTTCTTCAGTTTAAACAGTAGAGCTATGTGTTTTGGAGTGGGAGAAACAGAGTAGTGGCCCTTCCTCCACACATGGGTACATGTTATATCGAACAACTGGTGAGGCTGTTAAGTTCAGCACATTCATAACAGGTTCCCAGTACCCTGGTGAAATAGTTTGGACTCAGTGTGATAGAAAGCAGCTTGCAATCCTAGGGCCATGGCCATCCAAAGTTAATACCCATGGGTTCAAGGAGGAGGCTTCACTAAAGATCTGAGGGCTTGGAAGGCCGTTTGCTCTGGATAGCTGTATGCATGGAAATGACTCCCATGCTCCATGGGGTGGAAGCACTCTGTGGGCATGGCCCATGGCGACAACCCCAGGAGGGACTCACCAGAACTCTCCATCGTCTTCCACTGTCATCCCCATCTTCTCTCTCTCACTTTTACTCACTTTCTGCCACTCCTCAGAGCTGTGGGAAGAGTACAGGATCATTACTGTGAGGGCAAGGGGACACACAAGAATTCAAGAGGCTACTTGGCCTCGGCATGATCTGTCAAGGGCCCAAGGCCTCTGTAAAGCTTCAGCCATGCAACTAGTTCCCACACTGCTCTGGTTAGCTCATCTGCCAAACATGGGGGGAGTGCAGCATGGCTTGGAGCTTCAACTTCCTTCCTGACCAGCAGAGCTGAATCCAGCTTGGCAAGATTTTGTTTGGCCAGTACAATCACAACCCTATCAGTGAAGATAACAAAATGGACTCTGGCCAAAGGCTCTGGTTACATCAGCCCTTGGCTCTTCACCCCATCCACAGATACCACAGCAGTCAGTGGTGGCAGAGGTTGATTCTGTTTGGTGTCATTTTTGCTGGAACAAGACTGGGAACGGAAAGTTGAGCTATAATCATCGTTCACTAGTATGAATGTGCTGGTAATTTCACCACGACACCCACCAGAGCCTTAATGAGAAGGTCTGCCGAGCTCAGCCACCCTCCTGCTGACCTCCAGGGACCCCAGGGCAAGCAATGAATCCACCCCAATGAAATAGTAGGTTTAGGACATGGGTTGAAGCAGCGTCCCACAACTGCCCACACAATGTTATCCTATGGGTGTGGATGTCGTCAAATTGTCTCATGTCTCAAGGCTTCCTCCAACCCAGCTTTTCCCACCAAAAAAAGGTGCTGCTGCTGCCCGTCCTAACTCACGTGTCACTCCAAGGGCCATTCCACTCCCGCTCGCCCCATGGGTTGCGCATACGGATCATGTCCAGCTTCTCCGACTTGAAGAAGGACAGCAGGCCATGGCCCAGGCGGACCTTCCGCACGTCCGTCACTGCGTATGCGTGGCCCTTCACCAGTCCGCAGGCCAGTCGGGCCTCCATGTCAGCGGCTGACGTGGCCTGGGCAGGGGGACATAGACAGTGCTCGTACTGGGGGATGTGACCACCTTTGCAGGGACTGGGAAAAAAAGGAGCTCAGATTTCCCTGCAGGTTGCTCTGAGGTGAAAAGGAGAGCACCAGTGCTCAAGGGGAGAGCCAAGTGCCTTGGAAGATGTATCAGATGCTATTTTAGATGCTAGATCCTTCCTGGTCTTCATCTGTTGCATGAGGTCTCTGAGCTCCCATACTGTCAAACAATAAAGCTCATCCTACTGGTTATAATGGGAGGTCTGGCACCCAGTGCTTGTGGAGATATCCACATGCAGACACCAAAATGCCTTTCTCTGGAAGTGAATCCTCTCTTAACATTTAAAGGCTGGTGGGATGAATCTGAGCTGTTGGACATAGCAATGAGGAATAAAAAGGGCTGCCATCCAGGCTTGACTCCCTTTGCCATTCACAGAAAGAAGTAGGAACCCTTGGCCATAGTTTATCTGACCTAATTTACAAGTCTCCAACAGTGTAAGATGACTGCATCCTAAAATGCCTATTCCCATGACACCGTGACCATACAGGTAATGATGTTGCTTACTTTGATGGAGCAGCTGATGAGGCCTCCTCGGTTGTGCACCTTCAACACGCGCTCAAAGAGGAGGTTTCGCTTGGCTTCATCAGCGATGTAGTCCCCTTCAGTCAGGTCAATAGGTTCAGAGACTCCACCAGTAAAGTCTACCAGGGCATCAGCTGTGTTGCCTCCATCCAGGGCCTCATAACAGCCTGACAACCTGAAAGAGGGTGGCAGGGATGGCACAACAACACTGGCTTGACATTTTAGGGGGTCTGGGACAGTTCTTGGGGCAGCCTGGAGAATAGAGATTTGTAATAAAATTTCCAGTGGGTGAGCACAGAAAACTAGGGTGAAAAAATAAGACCCATGTTGCTCGCAGCCCTCTTGCTGTCATAGGACAAAGTAAAGGTGTGCTGGTTTTGGCTGGGATGGAGTTAATTTTCTTCATAGTAGCTAGTATGGGGCTGTGTTTTGGATTTGTGCTGAAAACAGTGTTGATAACACAGGGATGTTTTCATTATTGCTGAGCAGTGCTTACACAGAGTCAAGGCCTTTTCTGCTGCTCACCCCACCACACCAGTGAGGAGGCTGGGGCTGCACGAGAAGTTGGGAGGGGACACAGCCAGGACAGCTGACCCCAACTGACGAAAAGGCTACTCTGTACCATATGACGTCATGCTCAGCATATAAAGCTGGGGGAAGAAGAAGGAAGGGTTCGACGTTTGGAGTTATGGTGTGTTGGCTTCCCAAGTAACCGTTACGCATGATGGAGCCCTGCTTTCCTGGAGATGACTGAGCACCTGCCTGCCGATGGGAAGCAGTGATTGAATTCCTTGTTTTGCTTTGCTTGCGTGCGTGGCTTTTGCTTTCCCTATTAAACTGTCTTTATCTCAACCTACGAGTTTTCTTGCTTTTACTCTTCTGATTCTCTCCCCCATCCCACTGGGGTGGGGAGTGAGCGAGTGGCTGGGTGGGGCTTAGTTGCTGGCTGGGGTTAAACCATGACGAAAGGGAACTTCAAACCCCTAGGATAGGTGCTACTTAAACAAATGTGGAGTTAGAGTATATTTTGCTTTGAGAGTAAATTAAGGCTAGAGAAGGTTATTCTCTTACAGTTTCTGTCTGTTTGAGATCTGTCCTACTCCTCCCCACGAAAGCTGTTGTTTCCACTGGTGCAAACCAACTGATGAATGAACAGAGAGGAAAAACAGGTGCCCAGGTCCCAGTTTGTTCTGCAACTGCCCGAGTACCTACTTGGCATAAGCTTTCTCCACCAAGGCGCACCAGAACTCGTTCCTGGAGTTGGAGTGGCAGTAGATGAGCTGGTTGTGGAGTGTGGGCAGGCGGTCATCTATCACCACATCCAGCCACTGACCAAAACGCCAGAACTGGAAGTGGAAGATCCCCGCGTAGCTCTCGGGTTTCTCAGGATTCCACTCCTGCTCCTTCCAGTCTGGAATGACCTGCAAGAGAAGAGGCACGTGCACCTAAGTAATTCCCTTTTTTGCTGGGTTTGACTCTCATCCTGGAACTAATGCACATAATATCAAAGACAAGGAAGAATATGAGGGGGATGGACTTGCCTACAGCCCGTTGGGGACAGATTTTGGACCCGGTTCCTCCAATGCAGACTAGATTAACATGTACTGGAATAGCTTAGACTTCATCGTGCCTTGGAAGATGGAACTAAAGATCCTTGTCCTCTTTCTTATAATGCTACCCTTGACATCTGTTGCCATCTACTGCTGTAGACAGGCTATTGGAGCAGAAGAGTCCTTGGTCTAACCAGGGATGGTTATTTTTATGACCACATTTTTGTTCATTTTAGTGTCAGTAGGGTACCACTAAGAGAAGGCACCTTCTTGGATTCTCTTACTTCATTCAGGTGTGACTTGACTGGCCCAAGAGCAAGTATTGTATCCATCTACCTGGTGGCAATGAACAGGGACCAGATGCTCTGTGTACATCTACGCCGCTAAATAAAAGTGGGAAAAGCGAGATCCCCATGCCCACAAGGTCCCTGTTCTTCCCTGTCAAGAGCTACCATACTCATCCAAACAAGCACAGGGAGGTGAAAGAAGGAAAAGGGGGTCTGGGGTGAAAGAAACCCTAGAGCAGCTGAGGGGCTGAGGGAGCACAGGTTTGGTGTCACTGCCACCTGCACTGCCAGTGGGAGAAGGCACAAGCAAAGGGTAACTACCAAAGTCCACAGTCCTTCATGGCTGCGGGCACCACCGGCTTTGCTTTGGAGAGTGAAAATCCATCCAACAATTGGGCCAGAAATGGGTGTAGCCATGCACAGGTGCTACATCTAGGAGGATCGGCATTTTACTTAGAACCAGGATACAGAGGCACACTGCAAGGAACTGCCCCACCACAGCTTAGCTTTTGTTGAGGGTGAAGGCCACATGGTTTTACTTCAAGGCCAGGGTGGGCTGTGAGGCCATGTACAGTGAATGTAGTTGATAGCTGACAGACTGATTCAACTGCAGTAATGTGACCAACTGTCCACACCTTTGCTTCTCACCTGCTCCCAAAGCGTCATGACCTAAGTGAGGAAAAGTCCCAATGTGCCCACGGGGAAAATTATGTTCCAGTACTATAATCACTGTCCTGTGGAGACAGCTGCGAGTGTTGGGGTGGGATAGCACAAGACAGAGCTACATTGCATGGAAAGAGGATCTTCAGGAGGTCCCAGGCCATGGTGAGACCCCCTGCATCATGCCTTGGCCCTTGTCCAGCTGCCTGAGCCTTCTGCTTTTTTTTTTGGCTGCCGTCATGAAGCCATAACCCTGCAGAGAAACCTCTCTGGAGAGCCCCCCGACTCCTTAGCCACCAGCAATGATCCAGCCTAGGGCTTTTATTGCGCCTACACTGAAATATTAATGATGCCATCAGCCCTGTGAGCTCACTGGCACTCTTGAGTTCTCTGGATCAATAGAAGTAGAGCAGACAGAGCCATGAAAAAGAGTGGCTTTTGGAGGGTTTGGTGTTTTCCAGGAGTGCTAACAACGATGCCCCAGACTCCCTCTGGGAGAGTGCCAGGAAAGGTCAGACAGCCCTCCATCAGTCCCCATCGATTCCCTCCTGGCTGGAGCTCATCCTAATGAACTGTCATAGAGGACCATTGTGCTAATCAACTCGCTATTAATGTGGGCTTAGAAATGATTACAGCATTGATTACAGGCAGCTTGTCAGCCAGAGCTGGTAGCGACAGCTTCCAGCTGGCTGGTTCTGAGACTTGCCATTACTGTCAGTGGCAGCAGGAGATACTGGTGCCCACCATCCTCCTCCATCTCTTGATTTGGGGACAGCACTGAAAACACCCTCTGCTGCTGAAGGCAGCAAAAGCAGTCAGCCTTCATACAGAGCACAGTCCAGGAGCAAGGACTGGTCTTGTTTCAGCACCGACCCAAGGGGAAACAAGAGGAGCCTGATCTCCAGAGCCCAATCTGTCCTTAACCTGCCAAAGTGCAAGGTGCGAGCTCAAACATCAGGTTCCTCCTGGCAGCTCCTTCTAGAGCACAGCATCCCACCCAGGCCAAGGATCCCTCCAGTTGCTTCACCCCCTGGTCCAGGTGTCTGTGACCATGGACAGGCTGTAGGAGAGAGGTGGCAGCTCTGGATGCGGTGCCTATCAGGACACCACACTTCAAGGTGTACAGCACAACTCCTGCTTGTGACCTGATGCTGTAAAGGATTAGCCTGGGGCACATCTACAAACCCCAGCAGTAGCTGGAGCCCAGATCCCTCCAGGGGATCATCATGCGACTGAGGTCCACAGCTCCCACCCACTCCCAGGAGACCTCCCCAGACATCTCCATCCCTCCTCAGTGGATGCTGGAGAGCATGCCATGGACCACCCATCCCGGGATCCCACTGAGTCCTGGACTTAACTTGGTTGTGTGACGCCGAGGCAGTGGAGACCACATCTCCTCATTCACCCAACTGTGCTGCTTTTTGCTTAGGGGCTCCCAAAATCTGGAGCTGTAACACCCTTTAGTGGGACAAATTTAGAGTGAAAGCACTCAGAGACAGCTAAATTGGGAGCCCAGAAACACCAGATTCATTTACCTAAGCTGGTTTAGGGCTTTTCTCAATTTTCTTGAGAGGCTATTTAAGAGGAAAGGCACCTGTGACCCTGGAGAAATGTCTCTGATTAGAAGGAGGAATTGGTAGATGCTGATTCCTCCAAGCAGGGGCTCTTCTGCTGGGAACTTGCCAGCTCAGGAAGGGGAAGGAGGGACCCAGCTGTGCCAATCTGCTGA